GTTCGCGTGGTGTGTTCGCGCGGGGCTGCGCTCCGATCGTCGAGCGCCGCGCACATGGCGGCCAAGATCACGCTCTCACCGGGATCACACTCACGCAGCGAACGATCATTCATTGGCATACCTTCGTGTCTCGCGACGTGTGGTAGTAGTAAACAAAGGCGGACATCCACGCGCATGACAGCAGCAGCACAATTTTCACATTTCGTCGCATCTCTGCCTGCGTGCCTGCCCGGTCTCGCCCCTGTCGTGCCTCGTCCCGCGTATCGTCGACGATCCTCTCGCACCACCTTGTCTCCTACGTCCACGTTTTTCACGCGCGGTGTCTCGCTCGAAGGAAACGGAGCACGCACACCCGCCGCCGACTACGCACCGTAACACCGTGGATCGACGCCACTAACGCGAACGAACCGGCAGCCGAAGCCATACTGTCCGGCCTCGACGAGAACGGCCGTTCTGCGATCGCTCTGAACGCGGCGCAGCTTCCCAATCCCCGCGCCAGGTGGCGCGTCGAGCGCCACTGCGACGCCCACTGGCCGCTTTCGCGCCGAATTTCGAATCACCGTCGATGACTCTCGATTCCCGCCCCACAGCCCCAACGAACACTTGTATCGGTTTTATGCTGACCTCTCTATGCAACGCGATGCAACTGGTCGACGATTTTTCGGCGTATTGGTAAGGCATTAAATGCGAGAAAGAGAGAGATAAAGAGATTAACACGCTATGTGTAACATTTCACTTTTACGAGATGTTATGTTATACGAAGAGTGCATTCTTCTTTTTGTGGTATTGTGTTATTTGACAATATTCTTTATACTACAATATTCACCTTAATTTGATTCCTTGAAGATATTTGTAAGAATAGAAACTACTATCTCGAGCTAATAATTAATAATCGAGATTTATACGTTTCGCCTGTGGAACGGGTTTTACTTTGTCAAATATTGTACAGCAATAATATATAATGAAAGTGTGCCTCTGATTTTATAGCATCATCCGGCTATTTACATTATTCAAGATTCCTTTATCGAAAACATTTAGTTCATAAAAATAGAAACTACTAACTGTATCTTAAAAACGTCTTTTCTCTGGGAATTGAAATTTCTTTCTGCATTCTATAAACTCTTCTTCACGGTAAAACTTCACGATGTGTGAAAATATATATGTTACAATACATTCGTTGGTGATCAACGTTTATTTTTGAAGATTTAAAAAAAAAACATATTTCTATAAATTCAAATTGAAATTTAATTCGAATTTTAATTGGTAGAATTATAGATACGATACGTGGTTCGTTGAAATCTGCTCACACGGTTTAAATAATCGAA